TCCGGCATTAGCATTTACCGGACGCCATTTGCATTTTAAAGTGTGCCGCGGGGTCGCATTGAGTTTAATGCATCGATGGTGGGGATTCTTGGGCGTAGCTCTGCAAAATGCAGTATTTTTCGCTGTGTTCTTCAAGCATATTGACCTGCCCGATCTCCTTTTGGAAGCCCCGCTAGCGTTGGCCGAACTCGAGTTCCTGTGATATTCCTCTTCCTCCTTCCCGTCCACCTGAACTTTTTACTGCTGTTCTTTCAGCTTCCGCCTCGGAATCTTAATTTCCCGCCCTCACGCTCAACGGCTACTCCCGAGGAGGTTTATGTGCGTATAATGCGTGGGGGGGATATAGAAAATCCAATTAAACGGTGTTTTTTTTTTTTTTTTTTTTTTTTTTTTTTTTTTTTTAAAAAAAAAAAAAAACCCAAAGCCAAAAGAAATCATTACCAAACCACAAAAACATATTTCCATTTTCGTTGCCCAAATATACGTCTTGCATTAGAACGATCAAATGGAAATGTTTCGCATCCCGCACGAAGATAATAACATGGATACATTCGGGCGGAGAAATAATGAACAAATGTTTGATTTAACGATAGGTGATCTGATTTCGGTAATCAAATTCGGGATGATATCCCACATTTTTTTTTTTTTTTTTTTTTTTTTTTTTTTTATTATATATATATATATATATTATATATATATTATATATTATTATTATTATATATATATTATATATACATCGCATATGGCAATGACATTCACGAAAACCTGGCATATGTGAATTGCTGTGGTTTTGTCTTCATAGAACAGTGTACTTTGTATCCGTGCCGATATGGTTTTTTAAATATTATTGTGGATCTCTTCAAGAATAACAAACATACTTAGATATAAACTCTTCCAAATCCCTCCTCTGGCTCTTCCGTGCCAATCAAGATTCAATACAATATTATCCGCCTGGCTGGGGAAACATATCTTGTTCCGTTTGGTCCCTCTTCCTTGGGCATTGGTGAATTTGCTACCTGATCGTGTTACGCGTCTCACCTGCATTCGGTTTGCGAGCGTTGGGGCGCAGAAGCAAGCAACACATATAATCATTAATGAGGGGAAAAGAAAGAGAGAGAAAGAGAGAGAGAGAGAGAGATCATGCCCATGCGCCCGAACTGAGCCTGGATGCTGGGTCAATCCAGAGAGAGACGCCATAACATCTGGCTCGACCGTGCGAAGGTTGAGTGGGAACCTTAGATCTGCATCCACATTTTCCAAACCGATACGTCGAGCCTCGCCGAGAAGGGCACCGATATTGTTCCAAGAGCGGTGAACAAACGCGCGTTGAACGGCAACCACGTACCCACGAATCTCATGCAACAACAATCCACGCCATAAGCTTGCATGACGGTGTGTCCGCGAAATTTGGGAGCAACATTTGCGCCACATAATTTCATTACCGTCATGCTGTCCCCGTCCCTGCATTGCCACATGCGGTGGCGGACCCCGTCAAATTGCCGCAGAACGGGCATGGACAATCGGTTTGGTACCCACGTGCTCGGGCTCGGGCGCGTGTCCACACGCCCTTGCAAAAAGTCGTGGGAGCAAGAATACGATTCCCGAAAGCTAAGACTTTTCTTTAAGGTCCGAAGGCTTTCTCGAGCGCGTACACACAAACACGGTTCCCATAAAAACCAAGCGTATGACACTTAACATTGACATTTAATTGTGAAGACACAATCATTTCCCCTTGGCAGTGCTCCCAGGCCGGGAACAAGCAATACTGGAGGTGGTTTACGCAAGCGTGCGCAAAATCAAAACGACCACACATACAAAATTGTAATTACGAGTGGTCGGCTGATCTACAATGCTTCGGCACACCATCACGGGAGGTGGGGGCAACAATGAATATATTTTGTGCACAAGTTGGTTAGAGAACGTACTCGGGGTGCACTCCAACATTCGGGAAAACATTACGTTGGGATCTCAAAACCTTTGGGGGATATAAAATGCGGCGCGATCACCCCCTACGGGACATACCTAAAACACCGATGGAACCCGTGTATTGCGTAGCACACGTCGGCATTATCTGAGCCCGTCACTTCGTTTACCCCCCTTCCACCCTCTTCTCCTCCTCCTTCGCCTCCTTCCCCTCCTTCCTCTTCATCTTCCTCTTCCTCTTCCTCCTCCTCATCCTCTTCCTCCTCCTCCCCCTTCTGTGATGCTGCTTATGCGTCCGGTTTTGCGGCTACGCGTGTTTCACATAGGTTTTTTGATCCAGGCCTTGATCGTCCTCTCTGCAGCTGATGTAACAAGGATGGAGGGGAACAAACAATTATAGAATCCCCCCCACAACTGCTGTTACTGTCGTTGAAGCTAGCGTCGACGTCTTAAAGGGCCATGATACCAACGGTACATCTGGCCTTCAAATTTTCGGGTCAGCGTTGGAGTCGGCGTCGGAGCCAAATTGGATGTCGACATCGGTGCTGCCCGTGGGTATGGTCTGACAGTCGGCTTCGGAGCTCGTGTTGGAGCCGAGAGCATATTGCTGGAAGTGGCGGTGCCATCAGGACCCACCGTCGGAGATTGGAACAAGAATGGGCGTTGCTGCAGGTTGGTGATGCTGTCGCTTGGCGTGCCGCCTGAGTCAATACAAGAGCTGGTAGCACTCTCGAAATGGACGTTCGTATCGGAGCTGACGTCGAAGCACGCATCACTACCGAATGCGATATTGGAGCCGATAATGGTGCTGTGGCTGGAGATGCATGCCGCGCACGCGTGAGAGCCAGACATGCTGTCTAAACCATCAGCATCATCAACATTAGCGTCACAGCCGGCGACGAGCTTGGACTCAGCGCCGGAACCAGAGCGAATATCGGAACAGGCGCTGCCATCGGAGCTGGGGCCCGGGTAATCAACGTTGGGGTTGGAATCGGAGATGGGCGCGGGGTAGCATTGGCGCTGATAATGACAATTAGCAAGCCCTCAGATCCGGTGCGGGAACCAGCACCGCGTTCAAACTGACGTCGGAGCAAACGTCAAGACCAACGCGATGTCGGAACTGCTGACGGCGGCGCTGCTGCTGCTGCACGTGCTCCTAGCGTCGGGGCCGTCGTGGGTCACGAGAAAGGTCACGGCACCAACAATGGCGCTGGTCATAAGTAATATCGGAACTACTTTTGGAGCTGCCGCTAGCAGCACTGTAAGCGTCTGGTGCTGACGTTTTTGCCGGCGGAATCTTTGCTGTCGTAGCTGGCGTCGCGTCTACCCTGTACGCCAGCGTTAGTGCTGGCATAGGCACAAGCTCTGGTGCTGACGCTGGTGCCTGTGGAGCCGCTGGCGGCAGCGCTGACGATGCACCTGGCGTCCGTACTGTCTTTGATGCCAATGATGGTGTTAGCGCCAGCTCGATTGCTGACGCTGATGCTGGCAGAGCCAATGGTGTTGTATCTCACTTCGGCCCAAGCGTCGTGGCTAGTATGTTTCTGTATTTTTTGTGTATGCCGGCCCGGCGTATTGATATTTTTCGTGTATGTTGCTTTTTTGTCCCCCGTGCTCTCTCTACTGATCCCTCTCTGTCTCATGGGTTTAAGTCCTTCCGAGCTCTGGAAACAAATTTCGCGGATTCCGGAAACATCTTTCGATTGCCGATTTCAGCTGGGTGCCACGACTTCAGCTTCCGACACCACCACCGATGTACTTCCGACACTGTACGACTTCAACTCATTACCGACGACAATCCGACCGACTCCGCCTTCCGATCCGATTCCCGATTGTACATTAGATCCGAATCCAAGTCGGGATTCCCATTTTTGTTCTTAGAAGATTTGTGGCAATGCTGATGGGCATCTCCACGAAGGGCAGGGTAAAGGTGAACACTATAACGACGATATACGTAGGGCATAAAGAAAACAACGGCATCATGAACAATACAACATAATCGGAGGTTCTAACAGTACACAATGCCGCCAGCATCGATATGTCATTGCGAGTGGCGAACTGCGCCTTGCGAACATTATGACTGGGTCCGCCGAGGGCGGAGGTACAAGCAAACTTATTACGGACACGATTGCGCTGTCACATCGTTACGGTGCACCTCCACTTCAACCTACTACGGCTCCGATTACGGCGATACTGGGCGCCGAGGTAACAGGTACAACATCGGTTACGATGACTACACACGGCGGACTCCTACTACGGTTCTCATGTCAGCACGGGGGCAAAACTTAAAACACTGGAGCTACGCCACAACTCACCCCTCCAGAGGAGCCTCTCCCATCAAAAACCAAACGCATGAGCCCCCTCCGCTTCCGACCTTCCCCCGCCTATTCTCCTCCGAACGTTCAAGCCACCCTTCTCCCGAATACGACCAACAAATATGGCATCGGCGATTTGCCGACTCTGATGATACACCGATCGCGATGGCGTTTGCGAGCTGACGGTCTACGCTGTCGCCGCCAACTTCCCCGCCCTTCCTGGCAAGTTCATTTGGTGCGCTGGCTGGTTGGGGTCTCGTTGTTTCCCCTGGACTTCTCGAGCGCCCTGCGCCGGCCGCACCAAGCACCAAGCCGCTGGCCCCCCGCGCCGTGGCCGACAGACCAAACTCCTTCCAAAACCTTGTTTGTGGGAATCACTTGTTTTTGCCTTCTCGCCTTTTCGCCGCTGATGATCTGAGGATTCAAGATGGCTCCAACATGGCTCAAGAGAGCCTCCAAGATGGGCCCAGTGAGGCTCCAAGGCGGCCCCCCAAAGCACCCAAGAGAGCCCCGACAGCGGCCCAACGGGGCTCCAACATGCGAGCTTCCTGCTTGTAGAGGGGAGGCCGTGATTGACGACCCTCCTTCTTCTATATTCGACAGCCTCCAGGATGCATCCAAGAGGGCCATCAGAACTGCCGCCAACGTTCAGGGTCTCCCGCTTCTCTCGGGCGGAAGAAAGGAAAGGAAAATAACCTACTGTTCGAAGGGGAGAAGGCGGACGAGGAGCAGCAGCAGCAACAACAGCAGATGCAGACAGACTCTTCCTATCTCTTCCTCGGGGAGGGCACGTTTCTCTTAACGAGCGAGCCGTGTGGCTGCATCAACGCCAGACATAAGACCGCTGACGGAGCGGACATCATGAAACGCCTGGCTAGAAATCCTACCGCGCCACTCTGCGAAGGAAAATCGGAAAACGTGCCGTACCAGACCATACAGTAGACACATGCGCTCAGAACTACTGCTGACATGAACATCAGGGCGCGTTCGTTCTTCGCCAATCCTCGAAGACCCTATGAGGTGCCCCGGAGCTTCCGTGGGTCCCCAGGGCCATCGGTGGCAAGACGGTCATGTGGGGCACCTGCTGGCGGGCCGATCCCTGATCCGATGTGCCTACCGTGCTGGCCACCCTCTGCTCATGAGAGGCGCTCGCTCTCGAAGTCGCCGTGCTCGCGTGCTTTTTGCGGCGCGTAGCTACGCACGACTGCCCGAGGAGCATCCGAACGCCCAGCGGAGCCGCCTCCGCACCTGCCTCCTTGACCCCCGGGAGGAGGAGGAGGAGGAGGAGGAGGAGGAGGAGGAGGAGGAGGAGGAGGAGGAGGAGGAGGAGGAAGAGGAAGAGGAGGAGGAGGACCCTCTCCCCTCACCTCCCCACTAACCCCCCCCCGTCCCGACAGGCGGCAACGTGCGAGCCCTGTCCCCACCCCCTCGATTCTCCTGCATCGATGGGAGGCGGTGACAGGATTCGGATTCTGGCCACGTGTCCGACGAATTCTAGACCCAGACATCGGGCATCTCAAAAAAATCGAGACGGAAATTTTGCATGGTTTTCGGCCTCTCGAGGCCCTCGCCAGGCCTCGGGACCGTCAAACAACGACTCGGGACGAAAAACCGGCCCCGGGGAAGTGGTCGGGAGGTCGGGGGCCCGTGTCTCGAAAACATCGAGACGTCGGATGTCTGGGGACCCTCCCCCCCGCCCCCGCCCATCTGGTTGCCTGAACTGTTGATCGGGGAGGGCAGGGCTCGGACTTGGCCGCCCGGCGGCGAGACGGGATCGGTGGTGCCGGAGGGCAGCAGCTCGCACGACGTGGGCGAGCGGGCCTGCCCATCGACTGCGCCAACGCGCTCTGCCCACGGCCCCGACGAGCGCGTCCGGGCCGGCAGACCCCGGCCTTGACACGCTCCGAGTCAGAGGGTCGAGGGGAGGGGGGGACCAGCCCAGGAGGGGAACACCGCCCTGAAATCGGCGGTCCATCACCGATAGATCGGCGGTAGGCTCCGACACCTGGCCAATCAGCACGTTCCCCTGGCGGGGTGGGGCTATGGGGCTCCTGTCGACGATAGATGGGCTATCCCCGCTTGCCATCGCCCGGGAGTCCTCTCCCCGTGCACTGTTTGGCCTCGTGCGCATTCCTCTTCTCAAGCTGATCCGAGCTGCTCCCAGGTCGCCAAGACTTTCTGGGGCGCTGGCCTCGCCGAGAAACAAAAAAAACACGGCCGAGCGATGCCAAGCCCCCCCCCCTGGCTCGGCTGCAGGCAGGAGCGACCCCGGGCCAGAGCGGCCTCTGGTGATCCTTGGAGGAGGAGGAGGAGGAGGAGGAGGAGGAGGAGGAGGAGGAGGAGGAGGAGGCCTCGGGGCCCCGCTGGGGCGCCCACTCCGAGCGTGTAGCCCGGCGCCGGGGGGGCACCTCTGCGGGCAACACACCACGGGGCCGCCCCGACGAAGAGGGCCACTCTTGCGCGCAGCCGGCGTGGCCGACTGGCGCTGCTAGGGGGCCGCATGCGAACCCTACCCCTACCCCCCACGATTTCTGAGGGGGAGGGTGGGGTTCACTTCGTTCGTGAGCTTTCGAGCGAAGTGAACCCCACCCTCCCCCTCAGAAATCGTGGGGGGTAGGGGTAGGGTTCGCATGCGGCCCCCTAGCTGCCCCTCGCCCTCGCGCCGAGGTGGCTCTTGCCTCGAATTCGGCCGCGCCCGCGCGCCCGCAGGCCGGGACGGCTCGGCGGCGCAGAGCCGCGGCGCTCGCCCGCCGTCGCCGCCGGAGGGGCCTCGGCGGCGCGCGGCGTGCGGCGCGCGCGCCGCCACGCGGCGGGGTTAAGAACTGTAGCGCATGGGTGCCGTGCCAGAGAGCACTGGAGGCCTGGAAATCGGCACCAGCATCAACTGATGAGTATCGTTGAACCGATCCCCATCCCCAGCGGCGTGGCCTGGGCCCCACTGGTCGATTTACCCCCCTAGATGGGGATGTAGGTCGTTCCCTCCGGACTTCGAGGGGTGTATCCCCAACTGGGGGTGTAATTTGATTTGGTGGGGGTCTCGAAGGGGATGAGCATGGGGATGGGGATCGGTTAAACGATACTGAACCGAGCGACGATCAAAAACGGATCTTGCGCGAGCTGGCACAGCGACCTGGCGCGGTGGCTTACGCGGGCCGCCAGCACGGCGCGCTACGCTTGAAGCGAGGGCGCTTACGCGCGACCTTGCGCGGGCAGCTTGCGCACCAACATCGGCAAAAACTGACTTTGGTGCTGGTGGTAATCTTTCGGCCGCCCGGGAAGCCCGAGTAGTACCACCATCACCGGGATCGGGATCATCTTCCCTCGGTGAAGGCACACCGCCGACATTGGTGTTGGTGTCAACCTCTAGGCCTCCAAGAGTGGAAAGATTGAGACAGAGGCGGGGGTGGCGGTGGGGGTGGTGCGAGGCGGAGGCGGCGGACACGGACGTGGGTTTGAAAGATGAGGGGGAGGCGTAAAGGGGGCCTTCTGTCGGGGGACCCTTTAGGTACCCCGAGGGCCTCTCAAAATCGAACTGGGCAGCGCCCTTGAAAAGGGAGATTCTGATCAAGCCCTGCGTCTCCCACGCGAGGGGCCGTCAAACGTTAAGCTCACGTAGCTCGGCGGGCCCGTCTCCAAAGCCCCCCCTTTTTCCCCAGTGCCCTCCCCTCGACCTCCTCCTTCCGCATCGCCCGCGCGACAGATGCCGCGCAACGGCGGACGCCGCCGCGCGGTGGCGGCTCCTGCTGCGCGGAAGGCTTGTCATTGAACCATCGGAGGACCCCTCCGAGGGGTCCACCCTCTGGCCAGGCTTTCGAAGGGAACCCAGCCGCAGCGACGAGACCACCCCCCATGAGAAAACAACGTCGATTGAGCAGGGACCTCCGACACGTTGTGCTGATGCACTTTTATGCCCCTGGACTTCCAGAACACAACGCAAGTTCCCGATCGAGCACCAAACCCGGTCCAGTTCCACGTCGTGCGCGGCCTGCCATGGCCTGCCTCAGAGACGCTTGGGCCTCGTGAGCTACTTCGCGTCAGCGACGTCGCGGGGGCTCTACCCCGCAAGCACGTATACCAGCTCGTGCGCAACTCGTCTGCCCAGAAAGGACCGGGCTGGCGCTGGGTAGGCTGCTGAATTCTGTGACGGAGACGCCTGTACACGCCTATCCTGTGGAGAGGAAGACACGGGGACCATGAAGAAGACTCAGCGCGGAACCGTCGTGCCGGTCTTGGTCACCGTCGACCTTGGTCGACGTCTACTGGTGGATCATCCTCGCGACTCAGGGGACGCCGATGTAGAATCTGACCCAAATCGGCGTCGACAGGCACCCGCGACATCTTGATCATGGTCAGCGTGTTTCTTCCCTCGATGTTGTTCGGCCCCCCGAGGCCCGACAGCGCCCCGGAGCCCTCCTCAGCGGCCGCAGCGCCCCCCGTCGGTCAGGCGGCGCGCACCCATCGCGAGGATGTCAGGTTGGCCCCGTCGCCCCTGGGCGCGGCACGACCTTCTGGGGCAGCACCATGTGAGCAGAGGCGCGCAGCAGCGGATACCGTAGACACGCACGCACGCACGCACGCACGCACGCACGCACGCACGCACGCACGCACGCACGCACGCCCGCCCGCCCGCCCGCCCGCCCGAGCGCCCGCCCGCCCGCCCGCCGCCCGCCCGCCGCCGCCCGCACGCCCGCCCGACCGCCGCCCCCGCCCGGCCCGCCGCCAGCCCGCGCCCGCCCGCCCGCCCGCCCGCCACCAACACACAGGATACAGACACACAGGACACACAGACATACAGACACCAGACACACAGAGACACAGAGACACAGAGACACAGAGACACAGAGACACAGAGAAACAGAGGACACAGAGACACAGAGACACAGTGACACAGAGACACAGTGACACACACAGAGACACAGAGACACAGAGACACAGAGACACAGAGACACAGAGACACAGAGACACAGAGACACAGAGACACAGAGACACAGAGACACAGAGACACAGAGACACAGAGACACAGAGACACAGAGACACAGAGGACACAGAGGACACAGAGACACAGAGACACAGAGGACACAGAGGACACAGAGGACACAGAGGACACAGAGGACACAGAGACACAGAGACACAGAGACACAGAGACACAGAGACACAGAGACACAGAGACACAGAGACACAGAGACACAGAGACACAGAGACACAGAGACACAGAGACACAGAGACACAGAGACACAGAGACACAGAGACACAGAGACACAGAGACACAGAGACACAGAGACACAGAGACACAGAGACACAGAGACACAGAGACACAGAGACACAGAGACACAGAGACACAGAGACACAGAGACACAGAGACACAGAGACACAGAGACACAGAGACACAGAGACACAGAGACACAGAGACACAGAGACACAGAGACACAGAGACACAGAGACACAGAGACACAGAGACACACAGAGACACAGAGACACAGAGACACAGAGACACAGAGACACAGAGACACAGAGACACAGAGACACAGAGACACAGAGACACAGAGACACAGAGACACAGAGACACAGAGACACAGAGACACAGAGACACAGCGACGCAGCGACGCAGCGACGCAGCGACGCAGCGACACAGCGACGCAGGAGACGCAGGAGACACAGGAGACACCGGAGACACAGGAGACACAGAGACACAGGGACACAGAGACACAGAGACACAGAGACACAGAGACACAGAGACACAGAGACACATGGGCACATATGCACAGAGACACAGAGACACAGAGACACAGAGACACAGAGACACAGAGACACAGAGACACAGAGACACAGAGACACAGAGACACAGAGACACAGAGACACAGAGACACAGAGACACAGAGACACAGAGACACAGAGACACAGAGACACCGAGACACAGAGACACAGAGACACAGAGACACAGAGACACAGAGACACAGAGACACAGAGACACAGGGACACAGGGACACAGGGACACAGGGACACAGAGACACAGAGACACAGAGACACAGAGACACAGAGACACAGAGACACAGAGACACAGAGACACAGAGACACAGAGACACAGAGACACAGAGACACAGAGACACAGACAGACACACAGACAGACACACAGACAGACACACAGACAGAGACACAGCGGCACAGCGGCACAGCGGCACAGCGGCATGCAGAGGCACAGAGGCACAGAGGCAGCAGAGCACAGAGGCACAGAGGACAGAGGCACAGAGGCCAGAGCACAGAGGCAGCAGAAGGCACAGAGGACAGAGACACAGAGACACAGAGACACAAAGACACAGAGACACAGAGACACAGAGACACAGAGACACAGAGACACAGAGACACAGAGACACAGAGACACAGCGACACAGAGACACAGAGCCACAGAGCCACAGAGCCACAGAGCCACAGAGCCACAGAGCCACAGAGCCACAGAGCCACAGAGCCACAGCGCCACAGAGCCACAGAGCCACAGAGCCACAGAGCCACAGAGCCACGACGAGTGAAGTCGGGTGCGGGAACGCCAGCGTTGTCTGGGGAGTAGTGGGGCCCTATAGACGTGAGGGGCAGGGCAGCGTTGATAGCATAGGAGCCAGGAGCCGTGACTGGGAGCCACGGGCCACGGAGCCCTGGAGCCACGGAGGCCACGGAGCCACGGAGCCACGGGATGCACAGGGGCACAGAAGGCACATCAAGAGGCACCGAGGCACAGAGGCACAGAGGCACAGAGGCACAGAGGCACATAGGCACAGAGGCACAGAGGCACAGAGGCACAGAGGCACAGAGGCACAGGGGCACAGAGGCACAGAGGCACAGAGGCACAGAGGCACAGAGGCACAGTGGCACAGGGGCACAGGGGCACAGAGGCACAGAGGCACAGAGGCACAGAGGCACAGAGGCACAGAGGCACAGAGGCACAAAGACACAGAGACACAGAGACACAGAGGCACAGAGGCACAGCGGCACAGAAGGCACAGCGGCACAGAGCCCGAGACACAGAGGCACAGAGGCACAGAGGCACAGAGCACAGCAGGCACAGAGGCACAGAGACCCCGAGACAAACATAGACACAGAGACAGAGACACAGAGACCAAGACACGAGACACGAGACAGAGACACAGAGACACAGAGGACACATAGACACGAGACCAGAGACACAGAGACACAGAGACACAGAGACACTAGAGACCCAGAGAACCCAGAGACACCAGAGACCAGAGGACACAGAGACCAGAGACACAGATGACCCAGAGACACAGAGACACAGAGACACAGAGACACAGAGACACAGAGACACAGAGAACACAGAGAACACATAGACGCGAGACACAGAGACAACAGAGACACAAGAGACAGAGACACGAGACACAGAGACACAGAGACACAGAGACACAGAGACACAGAGACACAGAGACACAGAGACACAGAGACACAGAGACACAGAGACACAGAGACACAGAGACACAGAGACACAGAGACACAGAGACACAGAGACACAGAGACACAGAGGCACAGAGACACAGAGACACAGGCACACAGACACACAGACACACAGACACACAGACACAGAGACACACAGACACAGAGACACACAGACACAGAGACACAGAGACACAGAGACACAGAGACACAGAGACACAGAGACACAGAGACACAGAGACACAGAGACACAGAGACACAGAGACACAGAGACACAGAGACACAGAGACACAGAGACACAGAGACACAGAGACACAGAGACACAGAGACACAGAGACACAGAGACACAGAGACACAGAGACACAGAGACACAGAGACACAGAGACACAGAGACACAGAGACACAGCGACACAGAGACACAGAGACACAGAGACACAGAGACACCGAGACACAGAGACACAGAGACACCGAGACACCGAGACACCGAGACACCGAGACACCGAGACATCGAGACACCGAGACACAGAGACACAGAGACACAGAAACACCGAGACACCGAGACACCGAGACACCGAGACACCGAGACACAGAGACACAGAGACACAGAGACACAGAGACACAGAGACACAGAGACACAGAGACACAGAGACACAAAGACACAGAGACACAGAGCCACAGAGCAACAGAGCAACAGAGCCACAGAGCCACAGAGCCACAGAGCCACAGAGCCACAGAGCCACAGAGACACAGAGACACAGAGACACAGACACACAGAGATACAGAGACACAGAGACACAGAGACACAGAGACACAGAGACACAGAGACACAGAGACACAGAGGCACAGAGACACAGAGCCACAGAGCCACAGAGCCACAGAGCCACAGAGCCACAGCCACAGAGACGACACAGAGACACAGAGACACAGAGCCACAGAGCCACAGAGCCACACAGCCACACAGCCACAGAGCCACAGAGCCACAGAGCCACAGAGCCACAGAGCCACAGAGCCACAGAGCCACAGAGCCACAGAGCCACAGAGCCACACAGCCACAGAGCCACACAGCCACAGAGCCACAGAGCCACAGAGCCACAGAGACACAGAGACAACCGAGACACAGAGACCAGAAGGCACGAGAAGACACAGAGACACAGAGACCACAGAGACACCACAGAAACACAGAGACACAGAGACACAGAGACACAGAGACACAGTGACACAGAGACACAGTGACACAGAGACACAGAGACACAGAGACACAGAGACACAGAGACACAGAGACACAGAGACACAGAGACACAGAGACACAGAGACACAGAGACACAGAGGACACAGAGGACACAGAGGACACAGAGGACACAGAGGACACAGAGGACACAGAGACACAGAGACACAGAGGACACAGAGGACACAGAGGACACAGAGGACACAGAGGACACAGAGACACAGAGACACAGAGACACAGAGACACAGAGACACAGAGACACAGAGACACAGAGACACAGAGACACAGAGACACAGAGACACAGAGACACAGAGACACAGAGACACAGAGACACAGAGGCACAGAGGCACAGAGACACAGAGACACAGAGACACAGAGACACAGAGACACAGAGACACAGAGACACAGAGACACAGAGACACAGAGACACAGAGACACAGAGACACAGAGACACATAGACACACAGACACAGAGACAAAGAGGCACAGAGACACAGAGACACAGAGACACAGAGACACAGAGACACAGAGACACATAGACACAGAGACACAGAGACACAGAGACACAGAGACACAGAGACACAGAGACACAGAGACACAGAGACACAGAGACACAGAGACACAGAGACACAGAGACACAGAGACACAGAGACACAGAGACACAGAGACACGGAGACACAGAGACACAGAGACACAGAGACACAGAGACACAGAGACACAGAGACACAGAGACACAGAGACAGAGAGACACAGAGACACAGAGACACAGAGACACAGAGACACAGAGACACAGAGACACAGAGACACAGAGACACAGAGACACAGAGACACAGAGACACAGAGA